TGAACAATACTTAGTTTCAGTTTCCTAAAAAAACAAAATAAATCTTAGGTCCATTAACTTGGAAATATAAATTACATTAAATAATTTATGATTTTCGTTTGATAAATAACATAAATAAAGTCCCTGTATAATATTTAATATTCATAACTACATTTAAATAAATGTCATCAAAATTATGCCAGAAAATTGATAGATATTCTCCTAACATTAAAAAACATGACAAATTTAATAAAAAGTAAATTGATAACATGTCAAACGTTAAATTCCCAGGCAGCCTGAATCAAGTAATTAATTAAACTTTTATGCTAATAATAAAAGGCTAATATTATTTGCTTTTATTTGACAAATACTTAGATTTATGTAATTATAATTATCAAATAGATACTGTAAAACGTTTTATAATGTTGTTGTTCATTCGTAACTTGTATAAATTTTATAGTGATAATGAAATACAAATAATACGAAAACAGTTATAGGACATTACGCACGTAGTAAACGAGGTTAATAATATCTCAGATTACACGTGAATAAACGTAGATAATATGAGATCTCGGGCATTTCATAACCTCCGAACGTAATGTATATACTAATTTTCGTTCGCTTCGTGGGACAAAAATCCCTTCTCTCGGCGCATGATTGATGAAAAACAGAAAATGCACCAAGTTCAGAGGTTAAAAAATGTCCTAGATTTCACGTGAAATCTGTGACATTTTTTACCTCGCTCACTAGGCGCGTAATGTACTATTAAAGAAATGTTCTCAGTACTTTCTGTAGAAAAGTCAAAATACTACATTTTATAGCGGAAAGTATAAAAACTTTTAGCAGACTCTACCAATGGTGACTGTACCTAAGTCGTATTGACGTTAGACTGTACTGCAACAAGTCAGGAGTTTAATTATCATTTGTTAAAAAATTACCACTTTCTATTTCCTAAGAAACCAATGAACCTTAGGCCTCGTAACCTAGTAAAAAAGACATGATGCCAATGTTTCATTTAACAAATGACCCAATCTTCTAATTCATAGGTAATTTAATGTATTAAATAAATAGTGACAAGCGCGTACGTCAGTTCATCCTTCACATTTACGTCAGTCAATGTAAAGTATGATCAACGTTGAATAAAGAGAATTTAATATGAGAACTTTTTTGCTGAAACCTTTTTAACTTTTTAATACTTATTTCCTTAAAATGATAAAAAGTTGTAAAAAAATTTTAATCAAGTCTAGAGTAAGTTAAATAATATTGAAGACAGAGCTCCATAAAACCATATTGCAATCATAATAAATTTTAATTTCAATTTTGGGTGACTTCAAAAAAAAAATATGAAGCGCCAAAAACAAAGTCTTAATTTTTGGAGAAACAGATCTGAATAAAACATTTTTTAAAACAGTGATGAATTGTTAAGCGATGTAATGCAGTTATTAATGTCTCAATTTTGTGTTTAATTGATCATTTTCTTGGTCTTCTTCTATTTCACTATTGTTCTTACGATCAGTATTTTCTTATTTTGATTATATTACATTTACAGTAGTGATAATGAAATTAAATAATCAAACTAAAGTAAATATCTCTTTACAACTCACATACAGTAGGACAAAACGAGATTTTTTGGAGAAATAACGAGCTTTAAGGTGGTTGTTTCATGAAATAACTATGAACGTAATGGGATGAAATCTTGAGAAATCATTTATTAAGGTACACTACACTACCCCTTCAAATTTCAGAGTGGGCTGAAGAATATAAACGCAAGAAAATGACAACTAAAAATTAAATTCTAAACATGTGCTCTTATAGCAATTAAGCATTTTTTACTGCAATTTATAGCCTAGTTATTTATTTACTGAACGTAATTAAGTAAAAAACTGACACACTAAAGCTTACGCAACTCCAAGTATACTACTATTTTGTATAAATAATATTAACAAATAATCGTTTAAAATTTAAGCAGCATTAATAAGTATCATCTTGACAGTCACACCTTTGACTCGGTAGTCATGAAAGAACTACCTTAAGCCAATTTCGCATCGAAAATCATGCAACAAAGCTTAAAATATTCCAGGTACAATTTGTCAACTTCTGCAAACCGATTTTTTCATAACTACTTTATCTTTACTTTGTGTGGGAGTTCAATGTCAAAAATTTTGCGACAATAAAGAGTACGTATTAAATTTTACGAGATTACTTCTGCTAATGAGAGCATGAAATACGGTTAAAGTTTTTTCGAACCACATCCAAATGATACTAGTTGTAAGCTGATGAAGCCTTTGTTAAATTAAAAAAGAGCATAGATTATACTCATAAAATCGTGAAAAAAAATTAGAGACCTCTGTTCTTTCTAATAGAGGTTAAAATTCTACAAGTATAGATATAATGTATTATCTTGTTTTTTTGGCTAATATACATATACATGACAACCGTGTAAAAAATTTTTACAAAGCAGTTCACGACTCTGGCAACTATTTTCTTCAACAAAAACTACTACTTATACTTTAAAAGATCGTTACCAATAGATAACTATACGAGCAAACCCCGCGTCCTATTGCCTCAACATAACTGTCAGAAGGTTTCTATTACGTAGGCTGTAATAAAGTGGTCACAAAGGCTCATCCGTGGTCACGACTCTTGCAGTTAAGTCGTACAGTGGATTTCAAGGGGGCAAAAAATCATGGAAGCTTTCTCGTGGACATTGAGCCATAAAGAGGTGAAGACTGCAAGAGTAGCGTTTGTCTGCATAGTCTAGTGATATAATTAATTGTGTTATGTTTGACATACAAAAGAGAAAAGGCTGACTTGGACAAACATTCTGTGACGCTTGAGCCATTCGTTGATTCCTAATTTTTTTCTCAGTTATTATAATAAACCTAAAGTGATGACTCCTATGTAAGTTTTATTCAAAGATGTTATTGACATTATTAGGCAAAATTGACCTTGATGTGCTGGCACACAATGTGTGAAGTGTCCGATTTTAGTTACCTGAGCAAAGTGATTTATTTTGTTTACCACTGCATAAATAACTATTTTAAGCACGACTTTGCTTAAAATTACGCAAAATAGAGTCTTCGAAGTAAAATACTTCTATTCAGAGCATCAAGATATAAATTATTGATCACCAATTTTTTTAATCCATGACAAGATTGCATTAAGTATTCATTACACTTAAAACTTTCTGAAAAAAAGCTTGAAATACTGTTAACTTGAGACCTGTAAAATGACAGTCAGTATAGGACCATAATAATTAAATACAACTATCAATGTCCGAACATGATGTTAACAATAATTTTCTCAAATAGTCTTTTGTTGAACAATACTTAGTTTCAGTTTCCTAAAAAAACAAAATAAATCTTAGGTCCATTAACTTGGAAATATAAATTACATTAAATAATTTATGATTTTCGTTTGATAAATAACATAAATAAAGTCCCTGTATAATATTTAATATTCATAACTACATTTAAATAAATGTCATCAAAATTANTCCATTTTAAAGACCCTCCCCTCTGAGTCGTCAAGTGCATGAGCGTGATTTGAAGCCCATTTTCTAATCGGAAACCCCCCGCTAGCTAACAATTGAATTAACTCATCCCGAATCTGTAAAACCTCCTGTAAAGAGTTTGCCCCAGTAAGTAGATCATCTACATAAAAATCCCGCTTTAAGATAACACTAGCCCTAGGGAAATTTGCCCTTTCATCCTCTGCTAACTGATGAATCGTTCTAATAGCTAGAAAGGGAGCGGATGATACTCCAAAGGTAACCGTGTTCAGCTCGTAAGTCCTAATTCTACCCTGATGTACCCATAGAATTCGTTGATAGGGCCGGTCCCGGGGATCTACTAAAATCTGTCTATACATCTTTTCTATGTCTGCAGTAACGACGTAAGTATGAGTGCGAAACCTGAGGAGGTGGTTGAAGAGTTTTGGTTGAATTGTAGGCCCCACCATGAGCATGTCATTCAGCGAAAGATTTTTATCGGTCTTGGAAGATGCATTGAAAACTACTCGGGTCTTCGTTGTGGTACTAAATGGTTTGACAACGGCGTGATGGGGCATACAATATCCCCCGGCACCCTTATCTTCTATCAGTGTCATGTGATTTGAGTCTACATATTCCTGCATAACCTTTGTATATTCTACTTCGAGGTTAGGATTACCCTTAAATCGATGTTTCATAGCTTGCAGTAGCTGGAAGGCTTTAGAACGAGAATCCCCTAATTCTGGACTTGGTGATTTAAAAGGCAGCCTAACGATATACCTACCACTATCATCACGTCTGGTATTCTGTACATAATGATTTTCGCATGCGCTCTCCTCCGTGGTAAAAACTGACTGATTACTAACCTCCTCCAATTCCCAAAATTTCGCGAGTTGTTCGTTCAATTCTACCAAATTACATGTAGCAACGCCCTCTGGATTTGACTTAATGCCTCCTACTATTACCCACCCTAGCTGAGTTTTTTGTAAATACAAATCGCAATTATTTCTTGACAGATAAAGTTTCCCAATGGATAGGAATGAGAGTGTTTCACCTGAGCCTATGAGGATGTCAACGGAACGTGGAACGTGGAACTGTGGGTCAGCTAATCGAATCCCATTAGGTATGTCGATTGCTTCTCGAGGAAAGGGTTTATTAGGAATAGCACTAGTTATATTTGGGACGATAAGGCAGTTTAACGTTTTTTGGAACTTATTGATGCGAGACTGGATGACAATTTCAACGCTCCCCATAGATGTGGACCCAATTCCCCCAAATCCCTTAATCGAGGTTTCGCATGTTTGTGTCTGCAACTGGAGCTTTCGAGCAAACCTTTTTGTTATAAAATGATTTGTAGAGCATGTGTCTAATAGGGCGCGCCCTTCTAAAAACTGCCCTCTGTTAGTCCTAACCAATACAACTGCGCTCATCAATAGCTGGGAAGTAAGAGACCTAGAAACTGCACTAAATACTTCGAAATCTAGTCACGTTGTGGATTGAGGATTTTTGGTACCTTGGTCAGATTTCTGAGAGTTTGTACCCTTTGAATCTGAGTGCAAAAGAGTATTATGATATCTGTCGCAACGCTTGCAGTGGCCAAGTACGCATTTACCGGGGTGAGACCGCGAACAGTTAAAGCACAGTCGATGAGCTCTGACAAAGTCCCATCGTCTTTGACTGGACAAGTTATTGAATCCCGGACAACGGTATAAGGAATGAGCTTGGCTACATTGGGGACAACTAGTTTGCTCAGCAGAAGTAACAAAAACGCGTGTCCCATCTTGGACCTTTCTAGCCTTTCTAGGTTCGACGTTGGGCTTAACGACTGCACTTTCTCTTGCGGCCTCACTTCCTCTGGGAACATCAGTTTCCATGGTGTATAACCTAGACACTACTCCGTCGATGAATTTATAGAACTGATCGAGGGTGGGCAGTTCATCTAGGGTCAAAGAATCCTCCCATTTCTGTCTAATAGAGGGCGGTAAGGCCCTTTCAAGCAAACGTACTACCATACGAGAGGGTTCTTCAACACCTAGAGATTGGAGGGTGTTCAGGTGTTGTTTCACCTCATCAACCATCTTAGAGATGTCTCTAGATGTTGGGGACTCAAGTGGGACGATGTCTAAAATGGCATCAAGGTGTTTTGAGACTAGAATGCGCTTTCTTTCGTAGGACTCCGTCAAAGTCTTCCAAGCCTTGCTGTAATTTCCCGCGCTTATGTCATAAATCGCCACCTTACTTAACGCATCCCCCTGCAACGTATTACGTAGGTACATGAACTTAACTAGGTTATCGATGTCAGTCCGAGAGTCGATCATGCTTAAAAAGGAATTTTTATATGATAGCCACTCTTCGTGCCCCCCACTAAACTTAGGAAGTTCTGCTACTGGGAGTTTCAAAAGTCGCTGCTGTTCGATGAAGGTCGACGAGCCCATTCCTCCTCCCTGTCCTGCCAAAGAAGCGTTATTCCTCCCATCGCGAGCGTTTAACCTTGCAATGTCGCTGGCTACCTGGTAATACCGTGTGCTGAGTTCTGACCAAACCTGCACTTCAATCACCTTTTCGCTCTCAACACTAAGCTCTTCTATAAGGTCCTCACATACTTGAAATTTCCTACTTAGATCCCCCAAACGCAAGGTCGCACTGGTTTTGTCGACGTCTGCGCCCTCTACAAAATTTTCTAATCCTTCTAATTTATCAGCAAATAATCTTACCTTTACCGATAAACTTTTGGGAAGTGTAGTTGCCATGTTGATGGTGTCGACCTAAGGATCCCTCTTACTGTATGTAAACTTGAAACCCCCTAATCTTAACCTCTATGGCCCCGTTAAATAAACAAATAGATTAAGCTATCCCTAATTAGGAAAAAGTGAATGGAAAAAAACAAAAGAGAAAAAATCAAATCTTATCTGTTTAAAGACGTTGCCTCGACTCCTGGCAGCTGGGAGCAGGTTGATGATCCTTGGGAGCGACGGCGTTGGAAGCGACGATGGTTGACGTGTACGTGATAAGGCAGTGAACTTCAGACCTCACAGGAGGCACCAAAATGTTGCGTGTGAACACAGCCGATCCCACATGGATTGCCTGGTTCGAATTTAAAGGAATGAGATATAGATACAGGGGGGGGTTGTACTGTATAGAGGGTTGGTTTAAATTAAATTAAAAAAAAAATAATACAAAAAAAATAAATAGTGATTAAAAATTAAATAGAATTAAAGGGAGAGGAAGGTTAACACAATTAAGAACAACTAATTAATGGGAAAAAGCCTATGGCATAAAAAACCCAGATTTATTAAAAAACGAATCAGAATTAATACAATTGAAGAAAAAACAGTTAAACTAATTATACCATTAACAATGGGACCAATAATAGCCTATGTTGTGTTAGTATGGGTATGTGTGAGGATGTGCGGGAGGACCTGGTGGTGACGACTCCCAGTGTGTGTGTGAGTTCAAGGCGAATGAGGGAGGAGTGATCTCCTCTGCGAACCGGCGGGCCCTGCACGGTCGCACGAGTCAGCGCAAGGCTGGTGAAAGCGGGCCGACGCCCGGAAGTCGAAATTAACTACCACCTGCGGCAGCTCAGTAGTGATGTTATGTGAGTGGCGTATTCGGGTGAGGACCCTGAATCCGGAACGAGAAACGGGATTGAACGGATGAGACGTGGCGGGATGACAGCGGGATGACGATATGCACTGAGTGTGGTGTAACAGACGTATGATTGGTGTAATAGACGTATGATTGATGCAGGTAATGGCGTGATTGAATGCGGATGCGTGGATAGAAGTTAACCTAAAATGATGGTGGATATATGTAGGCAGAGATACTGAGCGGATGATGATAGAGGTTGTAGGGTGACGTGACGTATGGATAAGCTGTTCGTTGACGTGAGGTGAAATAATTAGCGAGATTTGTATTGAGCAGGGCGCGGATGATGCAGATGGGATGAGCGTAGGCGTGCAGACGGGTGAAAAAAGATAAGCCGAGAGCGATTGTGAAGGTGATTTCGGGTAAAGAAGGGTTGGATAGAGAACAGAAGAGTAGCACAAACGAGAGGAGAAAGGGTTGTGATGACGGTGAGGACGAGCAAGGGACTGATGGATGAACGATGAGCAAATGAGAATGGAGGCTGCAGAGGCACAGACCTAGCACGACGCGTGCTTAATGAAATGTGATGAAGAAGCAAGTCATGAAAGAATGCAAAGTCGAGTTAATGAACGAAAGATGAAAATGAAATACAAACTAAATGAATTGTGATAAAAAGACTTAACGTCTCGATGTCGATGTCCTGAGTCCTGGGGCTCGATGGCAGCGGCGAAATCTCCTGCTGACGCTGCAGACTGCAAGCGATAAAAAAACACTAAGCGTGAAGATGCTTCCAATTCGGCAGGCCAAGCAAGAGAGAGCGTGCAGGCTAAAGAATAACTGCTAAGTCCTGAAGTCCCGCCCCTCCCACCACCGCGCCGACGGGACATGAGCCAATCAGCGACGGAGGCGGGCGCGCCTCCAGGGGGAAATGAGGTGCGTGCGATTCTGGAATTCGGACCAAAAACGGAATTCGCTCAATTCCGTCTCTCGACGGAACATTTCATATATCTATATAGACGCGTGTGATATACTTTTATTTATACCCTTAACTCAGGCTTATAAATACACTACAATGGCGACGAGGAGTAAAACGTAAAGATTAAAATCCGTACAAGGAGTGATGAGCAAGTGTGAGAGCTGTTCATTGGACAAAGCCGAATATAAGCAACTCGTTCAGGACTCTAAAATATTAACAGAGAACGCAATAAAAGACTACAAGCAGATCCAGGAACTAAAGAAAAAACTTAAAGAAGAAATGGCAGCAAAAGGATCTGTGGGTAGCATAGAGCCATATCTTGAAGATACGACGGAATGGGACGTCTGGATCGAAAGGCTTGAGTTGTATTTTGCAGCTAACAAAGTTGACGACAGTTTGAAAGTACCGACCTTTTTGACCTTGTTGGGAGAACAGGGCTACGTGCTTTTAAGGAACCTGTGTGTGCCGGATAAGCCGAGCACTCAAATGTTTAAGGAACTCATGGAGTTGATGAAAAAACATACTCAGCCGGAGCCTAGTGAAATACCAGAGTGGTTCAAATTTTACCGATGTTTTCAAGGCAAGGGTGAATCCGTGAGTGCGTTTTGTGCTAACCTAAAAAAGGTGGCCACGCACTGCAAGTTTGGAGATAACTTGAATTACCATCTTCGAGACCAATTTTAAGCGGAATCCGGTGCGAGTCAATCAAGAAGATGCTACTTAAGGAAGACTCTCTTACTTTTGAGGTTGCGGTCAAGAAGGCGCTGGCAAATGAGATGGCGGCGCGCGATGCAGCTGGATTAGCAGAGGGAGTAAATAGCATCCATTTTTTCAAGGGACGTAAGCAACAGGCGAAGAAGAAAGCCGTGGATTCCAGGAAGAAGCCGTGTATACATTGCGGGTATACTAACCATATAGCGGAACAATGTAAGTTCAGCGAATTAATGTGTCATACGTGTAAACAAAAGGGACATATAGCGAGAGCGTGTAATGTATCGAGTCATACCAAAAGTAAGTTAACGAGCGAGAAAGTAAATACGAAAAACAGGGCAAAAACGAATTTTGTCTACGAAGAATCGGTCGAGACTGAGACTGAATCGTCATTAAAAAGAGAATTTTCAAAAGTATTTACAGACAAACTTGGATTATATAACGTTAAAAAATTTAAATTCGAATTGAAAGATAATGTAAAGCTAGTTTGTAGAAAACCTAGACCTATAGCGTACGCGTTAAAGGCTAAAGTTGAAAACGAAATTGAACGTTTGGTTAAGGAAGGAACGTTAATTCCGGTTAAGAGTAGTGAATGGGCAACACCCGTTGTCCCAACCCTTAAACCAAATGGGCAAATCAGAATCTGCGGAGATTTTAAGGTGACACTCAACCCTTTTCTTAAAATCGATAAACACCCTATTCCGCGGATTCAAGATTTGTTGGCTACAATGCAAGGGCACGTAGTACAGTCAAAATTAGATTTAACGAGAGCATATTCGCAAATCGAGATTGAAGAGTCATCGCAGGCTTATACAACAATAACCACCCATAGGGGATTATTTAAATTTTCACGCCTGCCTTACGGCGTTGCGTCCGCACCTGGCTGGTTTCAACGCGAAATGGAAAACTTATTAAAAGATATCCCAGGGGTAACGATATTTTTTGACGATATTCGCGTGGGGGGTAGAAATCAGGCAG